CATGAAAAAGGTGAATTAGAAGATAAAAGAGAAGCTCTACATCATACAGATTCGTATAAGGGTGAAGATGAACAACATACTGAAATGAAAGAAACTAATACCCTTAATGAAGATAATAGTCATTCAGTCAATTATTTGAACACAAATACTGATTATACAGAAAATGAAGAAGATGAATATGATATGTCGACACTGGAATCATTTGATGATCAAACAGTAGAAGACGACCTAACATGCAAGTGTTTCTAGTTTAATTACAATTTAGAAAATATATATCAGGCATTGACGTCAACTAAAAAATTTTTTACTGAATATCAAGTGTCATTAGGACGTTTAGTGTTAAGTATTTGAAAATATTATGGACGAAACCCAGAACCTAGGTTCCATTACAACTGGGATTGATTGGTAAGAGGTACTTGTAACGTTAAGGTTGATGGTGCCGTCTGTGGGATTTTAACCCAAATCATTCAGCCTCAAAGTTTGGAACATTACTCTTGGACTATTTGGGGGCTAACGTTCTATAGGACTGAAATATGTAAACTGATTAATTACTAGATGATGGCCAATATTATGCTTATCTAATCTCTTATATTAATTGAATTCTATCAATCATCAAGCATATTTAGGATTATTTAATTTCTAAATGATTATGCACATTTTATACATTCTATGTCCGGAAACTTATCCTTCAATTAGTTTGAAAACTTCTCTCGCCACTAACAATTAATAAATGTTTCCCAATAAAGGACATTTTACACAACGTTTGTCCTTTTTATTATTCACATTTGAAATAAATCTATACGCTAGTTAAATAAAGAAACATCCAATTTGAATATTACTGATGGTAAAATAGTCGTCATGTTGATTAGCTTTAATTAATAGTGACATAAAATTGAAATGCTAATTTGGTAATTATGTAATTGTTTCACTTCATGACTAAAATAATGCAATTCCCCTATCGATTTTACTTACTGTTTAATACCTGTCTCATTAAGTTTGTGTTCTGGTCTACATTTGGTTGTCGATCTAACGGTCGGATTACCGGGTGACTTTGTGTTTCACGCCATCAGGTACTGTGATAGATTGTTTAATGTTAGCAAGTGACCAATTTATTTCTCTGTTATGCCAGAACTGTAGAAAACTATCTTAATAATATGTAACTAGATTTGAAAAATAACTCCTTAAATTATGTATAAAAAAGCCATGACCTGGTAGGATTTAAAATGCTTTTCATTAAAAAGACAGAGCACCCACAGTACTGAATGGTAGTTGAGCAGTATTACGAATCGACTGAAGTTAAAAATATGTAGTAATGAATTCTAGATTAACACTCTAATATGTCATGTATGTAGTCAGGTAGGATATTTCTTGGTTCGATTCCATGCCGTCTTCGAGAAATCTCTAACTATGATGAAACGGTTATTTGTTACTTCACAAAGATTTCAGAGAGATTTGTATTTGTTTGTATTAAGTCCTTATCTCAAAATATCACTAGCCGGAGAAATTGCTATTTAGTGTTCTCCAGGTGATATTTGTACTTGACTAAAACCCAGCTTCAAATTGAGCAAACCCCACAAACCTCGTCACTAATAGTGGTAGAACTACTTTCAAAATATCTTCAATTAATTAATAATGAAATAGGTATAATCTTTAAATCTAATTGCAATATAAATGTTTATCGACCTAACACTCCTATTTTTATTAAATATTACTTTAGACGCAACAGAAAACGAATCGAATATGCAAATGACGAACATTCAAACAAACA